TCTCTGTCGAGGTTTTCTGATTATTTAATGTACTACACAGATATTTCCGGTCTGATGAATAAGTTTGGTATTGAATACAAAAAAGAAATACTGAAGGCTGTTTATATAATCATCCAAAACTAGTATAAGTAACTAACGGTAGTATAGTTTTTACATATTATCATTTTACATATTGTATATATATATATATATATATATATATATATATATATATATATATATATATATATATATATATATATATATATATTTATTATATTGTTATTATTTTTTTTTACTTGATTAATTGAGCAAATCAAACACATAACTTAATTGTTCTCAGGGTGAAAAATCTCCATATATTAACCTATGTTGTGTGGGTCCAAAGATTTCCTAGTTGTCCAAAGACCTAGTTGTAGGAGCTTCTCAATGACACCTTTTTCTGTCAACTTGATGCCGCCAAACTATTTCCTAAGTATTCTGGAAATTGCCCACTTTGGATCCAAGGATATCTTTTTATCGACTTGTAATCTCTTTCCACAATTCTACTAACTTTCTTTCACAATGCCGGTATCCATGCTCACAAACACACCCTCTATCGAGACGCGACCTTTTCTTTCGATGATCAAATGACAACTGCCACTTTCTCTCATACATTGACTATCAATTCTCCCATTAAAAAAAACTGTCTAATCAAAAAGCTTTATTTTGTTTACAATCATTAATAAAAAACCACATTACTGTTTCCAGAGAAACTAAAATTTTTGCTCTAAAACTGGCTTTTCCTTTGGTTACAAATACATAATTCATTCCTATAACACAAGGTTAATTACAATATCTTAATCCTAGGTCATATACAAACAATGAAAAGATTATAATGAGTATGAGCTTTCTAATTCTATATAAAAAGATTTTACCTGCGAGTGTTTAAAGATCAGTTGTTGACAGGCAAACTTATCTTAACCTAATACATAAATTTTGTTTACCAGGATGTCTTGAAAATTTATTTAAATGGTCTATTTATTAATTTTTATTTTTCTCTTTGGCTGAGAAGAAGAAGTATGACAATATATAAACATTATATTTTTGTACATAATGGAAATATTTACGCATCGATAACTGTTGGTCATTCATTCACTACAGATGAAATAAAGCTACGTAAACCTAGAAATAGTGTTAAATAAAAGGCTATTTTGCAGGAGTGAGTGCCGAAATAATTTGCCTACAGGGTTGCCTTTAAAACCTGATGAGAAAAACACTACCCAAAGTCCTCGTAAATTCCAAAAACTTGCAAGTAACACCTCTACATGAAAATTTGGGGGGCCACGAAAAAGTTTATAAAGGCTTTACCCATGTTTAAAGTATATCTGCAGTATCCACGCCATTCAGATGTTAAACTACTGTCGAACCTGACAATAGAAAAAATATATTTGATCCTAACTTTGAATCAAAAATGCTCCTATATCAGAAGGAGGCTTGGGTATTATTTAAAGAAGTGGTTACAAAGTTCTTGGGAAATAAAAAACCCCAAAATATGGTTTTGTTGTAGCTAACATGTTAAAGAAGTATCAAACATTCGTATGTTTGATGAGCTCGACTGTTCCATTATTAAACAGTCACCTTGATTACTTCCACTGTTGGTCACTTCCCCGAGAAGTTCTTCTAGCTACTCATCGTAGAAAAGCTATATAACCAGCTTCGAAAAAAAAAAGATAAATCAATCCTAGCTGACTTACAAAACCTGTGATAATCTCATTATATCACTGTTATAAGTCCTCCCCCTCAGTCCTAATCCCTTTTGGGATGTGGTGACACCATCAGGCCTTTACAGTTTTTTCACGATTTCCCTCCATCTTTCCCTGTCATGTTCGGCTTCATGTAACCCTTGGTTAATCAATATTTTTGTTTGATCTACCCAACGGCTTGGAGATCTTCCCCTAGGTCTATATCCTTTAACTCTACCCTCGAATATCAGTTCTTCCATTACCTGTTCTTCTAGCAATGTGTCCAAAATACTGCAAATATCTCTGTTGTATTTGTTAAGCAATCTATCCTTTACTTTAAGTTGTTCTAATATCGATACGTTAGTGCGATTATCAATCCAGCATATTCTTAACATGCGGTAGTATACCCACTTTTCAAAAGCATCTACTTTATTTTTATACGTTTTCTTTAAGGTCCACGTTTCGAATGCATATGTGGCTATAGGAAAAATGAGTGCCCTTACCAGCCTTAATTTTGTGTGTATTGTTATGCTAGAATTTTTCCATTCCAAATTATTACCAGTTTCATGATAGCTGTTCTAGCAATAGTCAGCCTTCTACGTATCTCTCTGTCACACCCACCGTCATTTGTTATTAGGGATCCCAGGTAAATGAAACTATTTACTACTTCAAAGCCCCCAATTTCTTTAATTTGTTAAAGATTATTCCGAGCTCTGTCTACTATCATGATCTTTGTCTTACTCCTATTTAGTTTTAGTCCAAATGTTTTGTTTTTCTCGTCCAAACATCTCATTACGTCTTCCATTTTTTGTTGATTGGCCGCGATTATTAAAGTGTCATCAGTATATCTCAAGTTCGTGATTTTAAGAACTCCTACTGATATTCTACCCTTCCATCCGTCTAGTACCTTTTGCATAATGGCAAGATTATGCATCCCTGCGTGATAGGTGCCTCTGTTCTGAAATGATCGGAATGGGTGTTGTTTATTTTTACTGTGCACTTATTATTTTCATATATACTTCTAATTAGTTGAATTAAGTGGTGAGGTGTTCTTATTTCCGCTAGTATGAATCATAGCTGCTACTATTTGACTTTATCGAAGGCCTTTTTGTAATCCACAAAGCACATGAGCATTATTGAATTCACGAGTTTTTTCGATTAGATATCTCACATTAAGGATGTGTTCTCTTGTGCCTTTTCCTGAGACAAATCCCGCTTGTTTTTCTGATATATAAGGCAATAGAAAAGGTTTTAGTCTTTCATGTATTACATGAAGTAGAACCTTTCTTGCATGGGATATTAGGGTTACCGTTCTGTAGTTGCTACAATCTAGCGGAATTCCTTTTTTGAATATGGGGATGAAAATGGATATTGTTCAGTCGTTGGGCCACTCTCCGGTTTCCCAAATCTTTTTGCAGATCATATGCATAACATTTACTCCAACATCTCCAGTCTCTTTTAAAACTTTTGCGCCGGTCCAGTCTTTTTTAAAACCGGTGATCTGGTCTGCGCCAAGAGATGTTCTGTTTTTTACCTTTTTGATTGCTTTTTCTACCTCTAACTTTAGAATGTTTGGTTTTCTCTCTGCACTCGTCGTGATTTGCATTCTGGTAATCATTTGCATATAGTTTTTGACAATATTTTCTCCATACCTCCGCAAACCCTTTCTCGTCATTGATAATATGTTAGTTTTGATCCATTATTGTTTGTATGATTGGTTTAAATTCCCTGGATAGATATCGGACTTTGTTATATAGTCTCATGGGATTAACACAGAATAAATTAATGAACCAATTAATATTTATACATGTCTCTCTAGTTCTTCGCATTCTTCGTTTATATGTTTATTTTTATCATCCCTACATGCTGTTTTAATCTCTATATGTAACCTTGCTAATTCGTTTTTATTGCTGTCGTTTTGATATATGAGAGATTTGATTCTCCTTCGCTCTTCGAGAAGTTGCACCGTTCTGTCTGTCATCCACTGTTTTCTCTTGATGATTTATTTTTCGGTTCTGGTTCTTTCTACAAAGGTTTTTATGGCATTTCTGAAATCTTTCCACATTGCTTCTGGGTTGTCTTGTGTGTTCAATATACTAGTTTCCTTTAATGCATCTGTTGCAATGTTTTGGATTTGAAATTTCCAGCCTGTTATAAGTGGTCTACTGTAAATACAAACCATGAATCAAATAGCCTAGCGTTTTATAACTTCATCATATACCATTTACGGATTATTTTTTTTAAACGAATTCCGAAGTGAACATCAAGACGTCAAAATAGACATATTTTAAAGTAAAATTGTAAAAAAATTTTAAATTTCAATAAAAGTAGTAAATTATCTTTAAATGTCACAAGAAAATAGCTTCAGAACAATAGTAGTTAGGGGCTTTATACTATTTAAGAAAAAGCAGATTGCTCAAAAACTATGGGTGGCATAAAAAAGTTAATACAAGATTTGGATTCAGCACATAAAAGTCTATAAAAATCATATATTTATATAAACAAAGTTTTCAAAAAAAAATTATTTTCCTGTGTTATTAAGTTTCTGTAGTTCTCTCTCTTTCTTAATATTTTGTTGTTATCAAATATCTCTGTAGTTTTTAAAGACCAAGAGTTTGATTCTCTGTATATAGTTTAGAGGAATTATTCCAATAAATTTCAGGGATATCAATTAAAACGTTTAAAAATTCAGCCAAAATGAAATATTCCATGATTTTTGACAAACTTCAAACACTTTCAAGTTTTAAATTTTTAAACTTTTTCTACAGTAATACTTTTATTACGGTCTTCTAACGATAACTGTTTGTATAAATATTAATTGGATCATTCACTTTTGTATAAACAACAAAGTTATAACACCAATTACATAATTCCTTCATTGATCTACATTTTTTAGTCCTACGTGTTGTATTTACCTATTTCTTAAAATTTTGGTTACGAGTTCGTTCATCACCTCCGACTTCAATTTTCCTCTTTGAACAACGCCAATGAGAATTAATTAATGAATTAGGACGTTATGGCGACAGATTGTTCAAAAATAGGAACAAATTATCCGTTTGAAGTGCGTGAGTTCACGAAAACCACCGTAATAATTACGCCACGATGTGTAATAACGCAAAAGTTTGATATCTCCGAGAAAACCGGGTACAAAACACATATTTTGTTACAGATTAAGGTATTAAATTGTTAAAAACTGAGTCTTGGATTCAACGCATGTCTATTTACTTTTTGATCAGTCTGTTAATAACTTATTGTTTCAAGTAGTATATAAAGTTGGCGATGTTTTCATATGCCAGTAATACTGCGGAGGCCATCTAGCCCTGCAGTGGTGATACAAACCACATCTCTGAACACTTTCGGTGAGTAATTGCAAAATATTTCAAATTATAATTCTTGCTAGTGTCACTGACATTTTTATTTACAATTATTTGTTAATTATCATATGCAGGCCGCGATAAAATTTATAGAAATATAAAGCTATGATTTTTAGTTCTTAAGATTTTGTAAGTACTTTGGAATTGTGATATTATTGGAATATTTGGGACTATGTATACATATTTTTTTGAGTTAAATATTACAGTTTTCATTCTGACAATAACTGTAAATCTTCAACATTAACTAATATAAGTAAACATACTAATAAATTTCATCTACAAAAACATTTTTATTCAAATTATTTTTCATACAGTTCTATGTTTTATGTTGTTGTACTTTTTATATTCTTATTTATATTCAATCATTGTTAAAGACGTCGTTTTCTTCTCTCCTCAACCTGCTTTTTACGGTTTTATTTCCTCAAAGTCTAACCATCTTCCTTTGTGTAGCTAATTTTTTATGTCAATTAAATCTTTGACATTCGTTTTTTCCCATCTCCATGATTTTTCCATTCCAAGATTAACGTTTGTCTTTTTCCTCGGGCGATAGAAAATAAATTTATTAGACCAATTATTTTATTTAAAGAGACATAATGGGGAAATTACTACATTCATGGTATACATTTTTAAAATAATTTGAAAACAATATAAATACACGAACGCCACGAGAGGTATGACACTTAGAGCAAATAACATAACGAATTAAAAATGATCCACTACTAATAAATTATTGGTCCAATTTTTCACAAAAATGTAACTAATTTTTGTTTCACTTCAAACCTCCCGTATCTTGGAAACTAAATAAGGATTTAAGTATATAAAAAAATATCCTTTAGATGTTCTATGGGTAAAATCTTGTAAATCTGCTTTAGCATTATATAATTAACTGTCTAAAACCATTCTTTTAACTTTTTACTTCATTCTAAAATGCATTCAGTTCTCTACATGTTTTTATTTATTTACGACACTCACATTCTCTGACGTGTTCATATTACATAAGTATCAGCTTTATTCCACCAATATTTGATATCAGACTTTCCTAATTTCTTTCGTTCTTATCTGTTACTTACTATATTCATTCACCTTTTGTATGCGAACTTCAATTAAAATTTTAATTGTTAGTAAGTGGTCACTTGTAATAAATCTTTTTTTGATTTTTTTTGCCATGTATTCCTTTTCATACATAGTTATTGTAACGGATCCGTTCTAATTATTCAGGGCATCTTTCTGTTGTAATATTTGATTTACTATGTAGAATATTTGACCTATCTATCTTAAGATTTTTTATTATTGAATGAATTGATTGTGCATATGTCTTTTCTTTACTATATTCTATAATAGCTTAAGAGACGTCTTCATAAAACTATCGATATCGTTATGGTTATGTGTAGGGGCTAAAAGTTTATGATTTTTAACGATGTTTTTTTCATTTTTAATATACTTTTTTCATAAGAGTATAAGCTAGTTGTCTGAAGTTGCTTTAAACGATTGATTTATAATAAAGCCTACTTGGAAATTACCATATTCTTTCATTGCTTTTATGTTATAGAAAATATACCAAAAAGGCATTCTACCAGCAGCTTAATAATCCTTAATAAGCGATTTAGATCGAGCGATCTATATAACTCATTTTGTATTATATATTGCATATTCCTCTTATATCAAAATATTTAATATATAATATACATAAGGGAAAATTGTTGGCAAAACTCGCAAGGTCGAAGGTGAAAATAGAAAACCGTAAATATATATTTCTGACTATTTGGTAATCATCAGTACAGTACAGCCAAGTTAGAAAATGAGCAAATTAACGTGATAAAGGATCTACCGGAGCCATGCGACAAATGGTGACAGTACTGTCATTCTTATCCATACTAGTCTTTGCATTCTAGCCTGGTGACCGTGTAACATAGCTGCGGAGAAAGCTACAGCTTCCTGAGGAAATGATTACTACAGGAGCAATGTGATTAATCGTAACAATACTGTCAGAATACCCTACGTTCTAGAGCTACAACTAACACAGTTAACAGTAGCTCTAGAACGTAGAGTCTTCTGACATTATTGCTACTATAGTGAGATAGTGCTCCTATAGTGATCTTTTCCTAAGGTAGCTGTAGCTCCCTCGGTGGCTGTGGTGCACGGTCACCGGCTGGAATGCAGGATCTTCTGACAGTACTGCCATAATTGCTCGCAGGACTCCTGTAGATCCTTTCTCAAGGTAATTTGCTCCTTTTATAACTTGGCTGTACCGTACTGCTGACGACTGACTGAAATAGTCAGAAATTTATGGTTGCCTTCCACTTTTTATCTATTTTCTTTTGTATTTACGTTGCGAGTTTTGCCAATAGTTTCTTCTTATCTATTTATCTATATATATATATATATATATATATATATATATATATATATATATATATATATATATATCAATATCTAACACTTATGTTTATGACGTTAATTTTTAATACTATTCTTAAACAGTAGCATAAACGGATATTTTGTATATAAATCATTGCCCGTCTGTGTAAAATTATTTTTTACAATTTTCTGTTTAATTTTTATCAAGATTTACAACTTTCCTTGAAAACAAATATAAAATGAAAAATAAAATCAAGATGTCTAATACAATATATTTACTTAATTTTATTTAGTGTATTTTTTGATAAGAGTCTTTGACACTTCTGTAATGCTACCATAGCATGTGATATTTGTTATTAATAAAGTAATAATTTATATCCATAAAGGACGCATGTAAAATATTTTAGACGGTGTTGATAAAATAAATCAAACTAGCTGCATAACACCTGAAATGTATTTTACAAACGTATACTGTTACGTTGCTGCATTAAAGTTTATGTACTACAATAAATTATTATATTAGACAGGCAAGAAAGTCCAAGAAGGGAACATAAAACGGATATATTTTGCTATGAAAGAAATCGTAAAAACTTATAATAAATACCTGAGTGTATGGAGTGACAGCTGGTAGACATTTTTTTTTTAATTTGTTTTAATTTAATAAAATTTAATATTAAAAAATAACACATAAATGCTTATAAATTGGCATTGGATTGGTAATACCAGTTTAAAAGTTGTCAACAACGATCTTGTAGATATTAGTTGTCAACTGAGTTGTTATCAACATGTATAGGTTAGTTGTCAACTGAGTTGTTATCAACAGGTCCTCGTAGACACTTCGTCTCAGGACCATTTTACTCATGTAGAGTCATACGCCGCCATGTTACCTATCCAACGGTAACTTAACCATCACAAATTATAAATACTAATAATGTAAAACAACTTCAAATTTAAAACATTTAAAGGGTTTTTACCCATATATTTTGGTGGCTACTAGCATGTACAACCGTTTGCACTGATGATGGATTGTTTAATCCGAAAACGTTTTGCAATGTGTTTGTGATAGCCCGTTTGAGGCATTTTTATATACCTTTTATAAAGGATTTTAAACAAATTTTTTTTGTGATATATGGTATACAGCCAGCTACAGGAACTTAGTTTCCTCGTGGAGTAGTATTGTATATTTTTTGTACCTGATAATGGCTTAATCAATTTTTTTGTACCTTAAATACACAACGTCACATCGTTTAAGTCGGTTGATACTATAAAGACATTTTCTTTATAGCTACTTTAGCTGATTCTACCTCACAGATAATATGCTTATGCGTTTGTTTATTTCTTTCAGGAAATGAACAGTTATTTAAATCAGGATCTTTATTTAAATTAGTAATTTTCTCTTTAACACCTTGACTGCATAACGGAAAATCTGTACTTTGTCCCTCTCTACGTTACATATCGCCGGCGATATGTAAGTACACTTAAGTCCCCGGGGATATGTAAGTAAAGTGACAAATTTTGACATCTCTGAGCAAAAGTATCTAATTTATTAAACGAAAAGAAAAAGTTATGAAACCAAAATAAATTAACTTTATTCTGCTTGCTTCGTAGCTCAATACATATCAAAATAAACGTATACCACAAGAAAATAATAACAAACGAAATATGTTTTTTTTTAATAACTATTCTAAGAAAAAGTTACTCATTAACTGTTTATTAAAACAAAATATGCAAAATCTAGGCATATTTGGACAATTATTACTTTTTTTTCAGCTTTTCTGCTGTTTAAAGTTGTTCGTAGTGTTTGGTAACATCCTTTACATGGATTCCTCTTTTTTCGACCTGGACTATCAGGTTTTACAAACGTATGAACGTACTATTTCATCAGATACTGCAATATTTTCAGCTAACTGTTTCCTGAATTCCAAAATTCCAATCTTAGTTTGGGCAACCATATTGTAGACCACCCATGCATTAACTAATTATGTACCCAAAATTAATTCAAACATGACTTTTCTACAATAAATTGGCAATGTAAAATTCTGAACAATTTGAAAAACTATGTAACTTACCTATACCACTTGAGAGATTTTGTTGTTTATAAACAAGACTTGTTGTTTATCAAACCATTTTATTATTTTTACACCATTACATTTTTATATAATAACCTGTCCCTTTTTTAGCTTTTAACATATTTCCTTTGGTATTCCTCTTCTATTGCTTGTCAACGTTCCACAATAAATAATTTTTTCGTTATATAAATCTTCGACCAGCGATATGCTTGAGTAAAAATTATCTCCATAAATAGTCCTCTCCTCTTTTGGCTCAACTATTTTCAAAAGTTCTTTTACTATTGCATGCGAATGACCGTGTGGTGCAGTTCTATCACCCTTTCCAGTATACACATTTATATTAAAAGTATATCCAATTGGAGAATATAGTTTATATAGTTTGACTCCATATTTATGACATTTGTTAGGGATGTATCGCCTAAAATGTAGTCTACAGTTGAAAGACACTATTGTCTCAGCAATAGTTAGTATCCTTCCAGCGTTTAGAATATTATTACATATATTCCTTTACTAAAATGTTTAATATGTTTCGAATTTTTCTTAATCCTTAGACCAGGT